TACCGCGAGGTCGCATCACGACGGCCGTGGAAAGTCCCCGGCGCTGCCCAGGACTGCCCCCAGGGAGGGGCGCGCGACTGGCCCAACACGGTGCCTCAGGACGACCCCGGGCAGCCCCCGAGACTGCCCGAGTGCTCCCCACGATGGGGAGGTGGGAGGAGGAGGGGGGGGGGGAGGAGGGGGGAGATAAGGGGGAGGAGGAGGAGGAGGAGGAGGAAGGAGGAGGAGGAGGGGAGGAGGGAGGAGGGAGGAGAGGAGGAGGAGGAGGAGGGAGGGGGGGAGGAGGGGAGGAGGAGGAGGAGGAGGAGAAGAGGATTAGGGGAGGGAGGAGGGGGAGGACTAGGGGAGGGAGGAGGGGAGAAGAGGAGGAGGGGAGGAGGAGGAGGCCGAGGAGGAGAAGGAGGAGGAGGAGGAGGAGGATTAGGGGGGAGGGAGGGGGAGGAGAGGAGGAGGAGGAGGAGGAGGAGAGGAAGGATGAGGAGGATGGGGCCCCAGGGGCCCCAAGATGCTCCCGAGAAGCCCCGAAGGTGGCCCCCCAGGGCCTCGGGCCCCTGGCGGGGGGGGGGGGCGCGGGCGGCGGCAGGAGGCGCACCCCGGCCCCCGGCGGACGGCGATATGCGGAGACGATGTCGACACCCAGACATCAACGTTGGCACCTCCTCCTCCTCCTCCTCCTCCTCCATCCTCCCCTCCTCCTCCTCCTCCTCCTCCTCCTCTCCTCTTCCCTTTCCTCCTCCTCCTCCCCATCCTCCCCCTCCTCCTTCCCTCCTCCTCCCCCTCCTCCCTCTCCCATCCTCCCCCCTTATCTTCCCCCTCCTCCCCCCCCCCAGCTCTTGACCACCTACCAGACCACCCCAACCCAACCCGAAGGCCCAGATTTCGGGTTGGGCGGGGGTGCGGGCTTCACATGTGTTTTTGTCGATATTCCCCGAACCCCCCCCCCCACCTCTGGAAATGGAGGGGGCAAAGTGGGGCCTGCGGGTTGGGTTGGGGTGGTTTGATGGGTGATGAGTTTTTGCTTCCAACAAGTGGGACTAGCTTTAGGACTAACTTTAGCACGTAAGCTTTAGCACAAACTTTGGTTTGACGTGCCAGCGACTGTGGAAGCTGAAGCTGTTCTTGAAGCTTCGATCTGGCATGGAATCCTACATCAGGACATCCGGGGGGCAAGGAGCCCACCCGTGTGCGGCTGCGGGTACCACGAGGCATGCAGGAGGAGCGGAGCTCTCCGTGGAGCCACGAGGCGTGTGAGGGGTGCGCCGACTTTGCGGGCGGGGGTGGCGTGCGGACCATGGCATCTGGGGCTTCACGGAGCTCCCTCTGGGGCCACGGAGCGTGCGGCGGGTGCGCCAGAGTGGGGGCGGGCAAGCCGTGCGGACCCCAGGGTTTGAGGGCAGCCGCTGGAGCTCCCCGCTGGGGCCACGAGCCGATTGAGGGGTGTGCCGAAACGTGGACGCGGAGGGCAAAGGCAGGGGGAGGAGGGATGGGGGGAGGGGGAAGGGGGAGTGAGACGCGGAGCGCTGCGGATCTGAAACAAGGACACAACTCAACACAGGATGGCTGGGTAGAAAAATAGAATGAAAGTGGACAATCAACGTCCTGCTCGGCAATACGAACTCTGCACCTCCTTCACTAACTGGGCCATACTATATGAGGCATATCGGCGAGGCAGGAAGGGGGGCCACACCAGTGAGGGATAACGTTAGGTGAGGACTGGCTCAGGAAGAGACCTTGGCCTGGAATCGGCGATACATCGATAGATCGGCGGTAGGCCCCCGATAGCCCAGCCGCACGTTGCTGGGCGGGGTGGGCTATCAGGCCCTTATCGGCGATGAATGGGCGCTCGGGGGTCGACGCATCCCCCCCACTGAGCGAGTCCCCCACCGAAGGTTGCCCCTGACCTTCGCTGACGCCAGATTCCTGGGCCTGGCCTGGACCTCCTCCTCCTCCTCCTCCTCCTCCTCCTCCCTCCTCCCTCCTCCTCCTCCTCCTCCTCCTCCTCCTCCTCCTCCTCCTCCTCCTCCTCCTCCTGACTCGCCCGGATGTCTTTGTAGTGTACTGCATGTCTGAAGCGGCTGTACCGCCAGAGTTGTTGCCGAGCTCCTTCTCCTCCCTCCCCCACCCCCTCCCTCCCTCCCTCCCTCCTCCTGCTTCTACATGTCCTCCTCCTCCCTTCTCCGCCCCCCTCCCTCCCTCCCTTCTCCTCCTGCTTCTACATGTCCTCCTCCTCCGCACCGCCATGAGCGGGTTGCCCTACGTGCCCGCCGAGCCCTGTCTCGGACTGTCTGCGAAGAGAGCACGTGCGCACAAGAATCGATGTTTCTGGTCTGCCACGCCTCGCGGGATGCGCTAAGAGTTCCTGAATCAGGGCGGCCATACACAGTGGCGGCAGGTGACACGTGACGGCGCGCAGTCGCCAACAAAAAAACGATACCATCGGCAGGTCCCTTGCTCGCGACACGTGAATGCGAGCAGAAACAGTCTTTCTTATTTTCGCTAGCATCGGGCGTGCGGCCATGAGCGAGATACCAAATCGAACATCCTCTCAGAGAAAGGTCACAACATCTGCCACAGTGCCCTTGGGCAAGGAGTGGGCGTGTCATCAGGTCCTTTGCCTAACCCTCTGAGCCTCACCGGACCCCAAAGTACCAAATCTCTCAAGGCATGTCGCGTCTTGTCGCGTGACTTTTTCGGAGCCAAGAGGGCCCCAAGACGGGCCAAGAGGGCCCCAAGAGGCCCCCAAGACGGTCCAAGAGGGCTCCGAGTCGCCGAAAGATCGTTCCAAAACGCCCAAGACGACCTAAAGATGGCCCAAGAGGCCTCCAAGACGCCCCTAGAGGCCTCCAAGAGGCCTCCCAAGAGGGCCCCCAGAGGTACCCGCCCCAAGAGGCCCCAGGAGGCTCCGAGAGGCGCCCAAGAGGCCCCCATAGGCTCCCGAGAGGCCCCCAAGCGGCCCCAAGAGGCCCCAAAAAGGCCCCCAAAAGGCCCCAAAGAGGCCTAAACGAGGCCCCCAAACCGCCCCCAAGAGGCCCACGATAGGCCTCTCACAAGATCCCAGCGAACATTCAATAGGCTTCATACCCACAACCCAGGCACGGTGGCGGGATGGGCCGAAGACAATTACATAGAAAACCAAATAGCGCTGCCGTCTGGCGCGGCTCATAAATTCTTGACACTGACTTCATCGCCCCCAGGGAACAGCCCCGGTCGGAGCCGTCCTGGCCAGGCTGCGTATTCTGTTGCCTGCGCAATTTGCACACAGTCGCGCATGCTACATACGGCCTCAACAGAGCAATGCAAAAAGAAGTGCATGTCGAAGAAATATTCCAGAGCGTCCCGAAACGCCTTTGGCGTTCTTCGCAAACGACCCATTCTGGGCGGAAGCACAATGAATCCGCCGCAGCCCCGAACGGGTTGCGCTGCATGTGGGCAGACGCGAGCAGAGCGTCAAACCCGCGCCGGCGTGTTGCACTGCCCGACAGGAACCGAGTGTGCGAGACGCGAATGCAAAGAATGTGCCCTCATCCAGGAAAAATACCCTGACTCGCGCTCGCCCTCCCAAAGCACTGCTTGCACATGCGGAGGGGCAGCTACTTCAGAGGTGAAGAGCGGCGGCAGGGGACGCGCGGATTCTCGAGTGCGGCCAAAACTAGGGCTCCCAACTTCGCGCTTCGCGCTGCGCGAAGCGCGAAGCGCGAATAACTTCGCGCTCTCGCGCCGCCCTCCCAAAGGGAGAATAGGAGGACGAGGAGGAGGGGGAGGAGGAACGAGGACCGCGAAGCGCGAAGCGCGAATAACTTCGCGCCCTCGAGGGAGCCCTTGCCGTCCCGTGTGTTGCGAGCGGCGCCGCGCGGAATTATTGGGCCGAGGGGCAACGTTCGGTGGGGACCAGCAGCTCGGGGGGGCCCCCTCCCTCCCTCCCTCCCTCCCTCCCTCCCACTCTCCCTTCTTCCTTCCTTCTTCCTTCCTTCCCTCCCTCCCTCCCTCCCTCCCTCCCCCTCCCTCCCTCCCTCCCTCCCCCCTCCTCTCTCCTCCCTCCTCCCTCCTTCATCCCCCTCGACGTGGAACATCGACGTGGAATCGAAGATACATTGCGGATAGATCGGCGTTGGGCCCCCGATGGCGACTCCGAGCGTTGCTGGGCGGGGTGGGCTATCGGGCCCTCGTCGGCGACGAATGGGCGCTCGGGGGTCGATGCATCATCCCCCCGCTGAGCGAGTCCCCCGCCGAAGGTTGCCCCTGACCTTCGCCGACGCCAGATTCCTGGGCCTGGCCTGGACCTTCTCCTCCCCCTCCCCCTCCTCCTCCTCCCTCCTCCCTCCTCCTCCTCCTCCCCCTCCTCCCCCTCCTCCCCTCCTCCTCCTCCTCCTCCTCCTCCTCCTCCTCCTCCTCCTCCTCCTCTCCTCCTCCTCCTCCTCCTCCTCCTCCTCCTCCTCCTCCTCCTCCTCCTCCTCCTCCTCCTCCTCTCCTCCTCCTCCTCCTCCTCCTCCTCCTCCTCCTCCTCCTCCTCCTCCTCCTCCTCCTCCTCCTCCTCCCCTCCCTCCTCCTCCCTCCTCCTCCTCCTCCTCCTCCTCCTCCTCCTCCTCCTCCTCCTCCTCCTCCTCCTCCTCCTCCTCCTCCTCCTCCTCCTCCTCCTGCCTCCTCTCCTCTCCCCTCTCCCTCATTCCTCCCTCACTCCCTCCCTCCCTCCACTCTCCCTTCTTCCTTCCTTCTTCCTTCTTCCCCTTCCCTCCCTCCCTCCCAACCCCTCCCTCCCCCTCCCTCCCTCCCCCTCCCCCCTCCTCTCTCCTCCCTCCTCCCTCCTTCATCCCCCTCCTGAGCCCATCCCCCCCGACGAAGGTTGGCCCAGGCCCAGACTTGGGTGCGGCCAAACAAGTCTGTCCGCGCGTTGCGCCCGTGGCTGCGGCGCGCGTGGCTGCGGCGACTCCCAGGTGTGGAGACGGCCGGGGGGGCCTGAACTGGCTGGGGCGCGCCCGAAGAGCTGTCAGGTCGGGGACGGAAGCCGGAATCCACTCAGAATCGGTCCCGACCACCGGCTCTGACTGCAACAGGATGTCTGATGTCCTCGAAGCAGTAAAGAAGGAAAACACTATAGTTGAAAGAAGGCGCCGACAAGCGCATACTTGTCCCAGTCCCGATACCCGTCCCGGGGTCCAGCCGGCGCAATTTGTCACCCCCTATCCGTTCTTCAGGGCCCCGGGAGGCCGGCAAGACCCAGACATCCGACGTCTCGATTTTTTCGAGACACGGGCCCCCAACCTCCCGACCACTTCCCCTGGACCGGTTTTTCATCCCGAGTCGTTTTTTGACGGTCCCGAGGCCCGGCGAAGGCCTCCAGAGGCCGAAAACGATGAAAAACCTTTGTCTCGATTTTTTCGAGACGCCCGATGCCTGGGGATGGACCCCGGGACGGGGCCCCAATGCGCACGGCGGATCCCAATGCGGACCCCTACGCGGACACCAATGCGCACGGCGGCAGTGCCCGGAGCGCACTGGGAGGGGGGGAGCGTTACGTCATAGGGGGGGGGGGAGCGGGGGCCATGACGCCCGGCATGCCCCAAGCAATAAAGAAACGGGCTCTTGTCACCCCCTATCCGTTCTTCAGAGCCCCGGGAGGCCGGCAAAAGCCAGAAGCCTTCCCGAACCCCAAACCCCCGACGTCATGATTTTTTCATGACGCGACCCCCAGAGGTCCGATCCGCCCTTCCCCGGGACCGGTTTTTCGTCCTGGGTCGTTTTTTGACGGTCCCGAGGCCCGGCGAGGGCTTCGAGAGGCCGAAAACGACGAAAAACCTTTGTCTCTATTTTTTCGAGACGCCGGAGGTCTGGGTCCTCCTCCTCCTCCTCCTCCTCCTCCTCCTCCTCCTCCTCCTCCTCCTCCTCGTCGTGATTTTTGCCCCGACGCGAGGAGGTCTGGGCAGCCCGTGCCTCGGCCCGGGCCCCGGCCCTGGGCCCTGAAGCCCCGGCCCCTGCACCTCGGCCGTGGGGCCGCGCGCGGAGCGGAGGAGGAGGAGGAGGAGGAGGAGGAGGAGGAGGGAGGAGGAGGAGGAGGGAGGGAGGAGGAGGAGGGAGGAGGAGGAAGGAGGAGGAGGGAGGAGGGAGGAGGGGAGGAGGAGGAGGCGGGAGGAGGAGGAGGAGAGAGAGGAGGGAGGATGATGAGGGAGGAGGAGGAGGGAGGAGGAGGGAGGAGGGAGGAAGGAGGAGGGAGGAGGAGGAGGGAGGAGGAGAGAGAGGAGGAGGAGGAGGGAGGAGGAGGGAGGAGGGATGAAGCCCCGGCCCCGCTGCGGCCCCGCCCCCCGGCTCCCTGCCCCGTCCGGGGCCCCCCCCGCGCGAACGCTTGGCAATCGCTCCACGGGCCACGCTTTGGGCCGCGGTCGGGGGCGCCTCCCCCCCTGCTCCTCCTGCTCCTCCTGCTCCTCCTCCTCCTCCTCCTCCTCCTCTTCCTCCTCTTCCTCCTCGCTCCCTCCTCCTCCTCCTCCTCCTCCTCCTCCTCCTCCTCCTCCTCCTCCTCCTCCTCCGCCCCCCCCCCGTGACGCCATGCCTGCGTGGACCTGGGAGCACACGCGCCAAAAGGTGCTGCGCCCGGGGCTTGCCTCCACCAGGGCCTGGCCCGAACTGCTGCGCTCTCTTCTCTCTCCCCAGACCCCCTCGAGTAATGAAAAAATCATGACGGGAGGTTTTTCCTAATTTTCGGTCTCCGGGGGCCCTCACCGGGCCTCGGGAGCGTCAAAAAACGACTCAGGATGACAAACCGGTCCTGGGGAAGGGGTCGAGAACTCTGGGGTCGACGTAATGCCCTCGCTCTCCTTCGTCCGGACCTTCCACCCTGGATTTTTCATCATCTTGAGTTATCTTTATATGAGTTATCTTGAATTATCTTGAGTTTTACAGAGTTTCGCTAGATTCATTGAATTACAAGCCAATTAATTGCATCTAAAGACATATTAAGACATTCGGAGGCATCTCTCTTTTGCATTGATCGACGCCGCTTGTGCCCCCAAAATAGCACAGCACCGCCATGACCATTGATTGCAACATTACGTCATCAGCGTCATTGCCATTCGTCGTCGTCAACATCACAATCATCACCAAACTCAACGCCACCGTCGGCAACATCATCATTCCCATCATTTTTCGAACCAGAAGCATCATCAACATCAGCATGATCGTCATCAACCATTTAACGTCATCATAATAACCAACAGCATCATCAACATCACCATCATCGTCATCATCATTATATCCCCCTTTGCAATTATTTGTTTTCTTCCCTTGTTCTCCTCATTTGTTTGTTCAATTTTTTCCCTACCTATAGGCCCTGCCTATAGAAGGGTTCTTACCCTGTGTGCTGAAGGGGTTGGGCAGCGGAGCCCGCCATGGGCGGTTCCCCCAGGATCCGCCCCGCGGTTCCCCCAGTCCCCTGGGAGCTTTAGCTTTAGCTTTAGCTTTAGTTTAGCTTTAGCTTACGTTTTAGCTTAGCTTTAGCTTCGGTTTAGTTTAGCGTTCGCTTAAGCTCTACCTTAGCCTTAGCTTAGCTTTAGCTTAGCTTTAGCTTAGCTTTAGCTTAGCTTTAGCTTAGGACCACCTTAGCCTTAGCATAGCTTTAGCTTAGCGGTAGTTCATATTTAACGTAATGCTACATAGCTTTAGCTTAGCTGTAAAGCTTAGTTTTAGCTTAGCTTTACCTTAGCTTTAGCTTAGCTTTAACTCAGCTTAAGCTTAACTTTAGTTTAACTTCAGTTTAGCTTTAGCTTAGCTTTAGCTTAGCTTTAGACTAGTTTTGTATTAGCGTTAGCTTAGCTTTGGCTTAGCTTTGGCTTAGCTTTAGCGTTTCGTTTACTACTAATGCTGCTTTCTTTGGGCTCCAACTCCTAGGTAGGGTCGCACTGGGATAGTTCTTTCCTGTAACGATTTTGCACCCCTCGGAGAGGGCAGGGACGACGATGGCGAGACGAGGCGAAAGACGACGACAACAGCGGAGAGGACGGCCCGCCAAGGCGGGGGGGAGACCGAGGGCGGAGGCCACGGAGGAGGAGAGAAGAGGAGAGCAGGGGAGGGGAAGACGATACGACGAGGGAAACGACAGCAGCGCAGAGAGCAACGACGACGGCGACGACGACGAGGGGTGCGGAAAGGGCGCGAGGCCCTAGGCCCTAGGCCCTCTCCTAGGCCATAGGCCCTAGGCCCTAGGCCCGAGGCCCTAGGCCCTCGGGGTCGTTCGGAAGCCCTAGGCCATCTCCTCCTCGCCCTCATCCTCCTCCTCCTCTTCGACCGCTGGCCCGACGGGCCCTACAACTGATGACCCAACACGACGTGATGATCGCGATGATGTGGCACTGCATTTTTTCCTCGGATCCAGCCCCGTGGAATCTTTGTAAATGCTGCATGTACCATTTGGTAGCACTGTTCTCAGAGAATTTCACTC